CTCAGCCCTGACTATCGACCGTTGTCTTTTTTTTTTTTTTTTTTTTACTAAACATATACAATGAATAATAATAAAAAAAAGTACCTAATCAAAACATACCCTCGAAGATCCAGCCACCTTATACCTTTGAAGAAAAAAGTATAGGGCAGCAAATTGATGGTTGAGGCAAAATTGAACAAACCACAGGTGTGATTATCTATGAATGTGAAAGCATTTATCGTTGCGCACCGCCAAATTTAGCGGGAAAACTGAATTGGTGCATAGGTCGTGACGTCAATTTTTACGCTAAATTTAGCAGGGAACCTCGCCGCTAAATTTAGCGTCGTCCTCTAGGACGACGCTAAATCTTTATCGTCCTTGAGATCACCCTAGATGTCATCCTTGAGGTCGTCCTAGACGTCCTTTCTAACGTCGTCCTCGGCGCCATAGTCCTCGACGTTAAAGACCTGGGGTCTTTAACGTGATCACTACCGCGTGAGCACGTTAAAGGCCCTTGGTTAGCAGTCGTACTGCTCTGGCGAAATTGCTCATCTACAGTGTAAACCAGTGTCGCCCCCACTGGCAGACCAACCTTACGCTGTATAAATCACTAAAACGTCCAATTTGACTTTTGATTTGTCGTCCTCGACTACGTCCTTGACGTTGTCTAGGACGACGGCGAGGAGGACGAAATAGAGGGCGACGTCAAAGGCGACATTTCGTACGACCTCTAATGTCACGTTCGTCTGGAGCGCGATGCTAGGGTGCCTCAAAACGCGTCTCCGACTGGTGTGCTTACCGCCTCCGAAAAAGTAGTCCCTCGATTTTCGCCCGATGGCGTCGTAAAAATGTCATACTGTAACCGGCTGCGATCCTGGCGGCGGATTCGGCAGCCAGGACTCGGAAGACCTAAAGTCCCTAACGTCCCTGTCCAGGGACGTTAGGAAGACCACGACGACAGCGACACTCGCGTTGGCATTTGTAGGAACGTGTAGGACCAACCGCCAGGATCGTCCGACAGCTTGACGTCTTTCGTGACGTCATTCGTTGCCACTTCGGATGCATAAACTTAAGCTAAACACACAAGTCCAAGACGAGTTCCAGGCACCGTATACCGATGCTAAGCGCGGCATTTCTCTTTGCCACTCTATTCGTTTTCACCTCTAGAAAAAAGCAAGTTTTGCGCATTGTTTAAACGCCGAGCGAAGAAGTTCTTACACGAGATTTGGTTGTCAGGGGAAAAAAAGCGATGCTTTTAGCGTTTGAAGCGTGTATACGTCTTGATAGGATAACATCTACAATTCTAACCTGCACCTACATATATCTTAACTCTCCGCTACGCGAGGAGCCAAACTGTTTTTATTGAGTTTCTTGAGATGAAAATGAGTATATAGGTGACGATCGTTCTCTGTTTTTCGAGGTCCACAATCCACGTGCCATCTGACGGCAACTGGGGAGGCCGGAGGCCGGATGGGTCCTGGGGCGGCCAGGTGGGCCTGGTCGTTCGAAACGTAAGAAAAATCCCTCCCCAGTAACTTCCGCCCACGTCTTGTTTACAGACCAGACTCAGCCGATGCTACAAGCGCAGGCATATGTGTCTCTTTACACTAATTGCACTGCACGGCTTGGCGGGGACACTGAAAGAACGGAGCCCGCGCTTGTAGTAAACGAAGTACAATTGAAATGATTAATTTCTTCATTTGAGCGTCTATTTCTGCTTCACGTCTAATGATGACGTAGAGACCCATCATACCATTATGGCTGTGCGCAACGTAGTGTAACTCTCTGAACTTCCGAGCAATAAAGTTTCGGGGTGCTCCTTCGGCCAAAATCCCATCGTGCGTAGCCTTGACCTTGGGAAATAAAGATGCTTTTTGTAGTAGGAAAAGACGGGAAGCGAGAAAACGGGGCGCCACTCGCGGCGTACATCTTCGCCTTTCCGTACAGAGTTTCGGGAATGAGCAAACGAGTTGATAGCTCCCCCTGTTTTTTGGGGAAAGTGCACATTTTAAGAAACTCGCGCCATCCCTTTCGTCAACTGGCAACGCGTCCGCCCAGCAAACATCCAGCCACCTTGGGTGACAATGCGCAATAACTTGGGATCTTCGGGTGCTTTGGAACAGTCCTTCTCGATAGATGTGCGGGGGAACTCGTCAACTAGTGACATTACGACTTCTTGTAAGAACAAGCTCCAATGACCCGACTTCAGTTACTGATACGAACTTCATCAAAATCAGGAAGACTCAGCAACAGCGACACCGGTGAGTCGGCTGTCTTAGAGTTGCATCTAAAAAAGAAGCTACTCATCATGTTTAACACTTCTTTTGTGTGCGCCACTGGAACGACTGTTCAGTGTGGTTCGCTTTGAGGCGCATGAGGCTGTTGCGACGTAAACAGGAAGATCTGAGTTTTGGTACATATGCCGTAATAAATAGAATGAGCACTAATTACTGCCCGAAGATATCGAAAAGCAATGTCGAAGTAATTTTATTACTTTTGTAAAGTAATTGTAATGTAATATCATTTACTTTAAGTATGCAGTAATTTCTAATGTAATATAATTACATTTTCGCAGTTTTCAAGAAAGTAATTAGCAATGTAATTTAATGACATTTTGAGAGTAATTTTGCAATCTCTGGTTACATGCTCCGGGTTCTCAGTCGTGCTGCACTCACCAAGGTAGTGATCTATATACGAAGACGTATCACAACCTGTTTGGTTGCGAACTCACTTCCCGTTGTCCGAACACCTACTCAATTGAAGCGGTCTTTAAACCCGAATAACGGTTTCTAAGACATTGGTGTGGGCAAAGCGGGCTTCTTTGGGAACACTGTGTTGGTGTATACACGCACATCTAGGCGCGAGCCTTGGACAGTCGTTACGATTGCGAAAGCTAAGCTTTATTTCTTTTATTGCAACGTGCACTTGTGTTATCTTTTTCTTGTCGCTCTTCATGCTTACGATGAGACGCAATTGGTTAAGACCAGTGTATCGAACCGAAAAAAATACGGGTTCGGTTACGGTTCAGGTTCAGGTAAATTTATTTTGTTCCGGTTCAGTTCCTGTTCGATTAATTCGAACCGCGAACCGGTTCGGGGCGCTGAACCGGTTCGCGAACCGGTTCGGAAATTATAAATGACAAATTGCAACATCAAAATAAATTACAAATAAAACATCTGAAATCAGCACATACGAAACGGGATACATCGTAGTGTAAGGCTCAGGGATTTCTACCAGGAATGGTTTCCTTATGTGCACTCAAAGGTTACCTCACCGACGTTTACGCATTCGGACTTCATCTAATTGGGTCCGACGCAGTAGCTGCAAAATCCGCGACCTCCTTACAAACCCACTTACAAGTAGAACTCGCTAACTATCCCGCCACCTCGGCGTGTAAGCAATTGAAGGAACAGTGGGGAGAAAATACAGCTTTCTTTATTTGAACTAGCCTTCGGTAACTCAAATTAGACTCTTAAAGAAGTTTCCATTAAACAAGATACGGAATATGAAAAACACTTCACCGAACGCAACGCCAGAAGGACGTAATAGGATAAATATTAAAATAGAAGAGTTCGCTGTCTCACAAATATGTTAGCTTCTAAGTGCCTATACGAAACCGGATGCATTATTACCAAACTCCACAGCCTTTTCTTTTCTCATTCCGATGGAAGCAAGCTTCAAGAACTCGCGCGTTCTAGAAACGTGTTATGAAATGAGCACACAGCAGCATTTAGGATTTACGAGATTGTAGGAAAATGAAATCCCGAGACGCGATTTTTTTTTTTTTTTTTTTCACAGCCTTTCAATTTTCTTTCTTCCGTGCAAGTCGCGACCAGCGCAATACTGGTTCCTATGTCAAAATTCATGGATGCAGCGTTTATATTCCTAAGACTGAGTGGAGAAGAAAAATATGTAAGCGAGGTGTGTGTCAGTTGACGGCACTTAAAAAACAAATGGCATTGATAGCACATTCATTGTCAACAGCGCGTGGCCGAACCGTTTTGACATGAGCCGGTAACCGTTATTTTTTTCCCGGTTCAGTTCCGGCTCGGGTTCATCGCGATAACAATATAACGGTTCGGATTCAGTTCCGGAAAAAATACCGGTTCGGTTCCGGTTTTCGGTTCGGTTCCGGTTCGACACCCTGGTTAAGACGCAATTTTTTTAATCCAAACCGTGGCGACACTGGGAGAGAGGTCACGTCTGTGTTTCTTCTGTTCACACGAACGTTGTTCTATACATTACAAGTAGAGCGCAATTTGCAAAGACGCAATTTGATGGAGGCGCACGAGGTGAGCGCTGACGGTGGCAGCAAGCTGGGGCAGTGCGGATGGGGAAAGGAACGACAACACGGTACGTTTTTGTTTTCGTATTTCCTCGAGCCACACTGCTAATAATGTTCGCTGCCGACATGAAGACAAAAGTGTTTGCAAACACGTTTGAAGCGTTTTTTTTTTTTTTTCGGGCGCAGTTTTTATATGATTTATGTGACAGGACAGTCGTGCAAGGAAGAACTGACGTCTTAGACATTTTCTGCAGACTGTTTATGTATAAAGCAGTAAGACGGCAGCCAGGGGCGGATCCAAAGGGGGGGGGGGGGGGGGACGACGGGGGCGGCCGCCCCGCCCCCCAAACAAAGTCGACCCCTTCCTCCCTCCTCCTTAGAGAGTGACATGGGTGGAACCCCCGCTGCACACGAAAAAATGGGAGAATAGTATCCTTACAAACTTTCCGCCCCCCCCCCCCCCCTCAAAAAAAAAAAAATACAAAAACAGATTTTTTTTTGCCGCCAACCCCCCCCCCCCCCCCCCCCCCCCCCCCCTGACGGCAGCTTGGTCCGAGCGCAGCAGACTCTACGAGACGATAGGGCCAACGAAGCAGCGACAAAAGTGCAATTTTTGCTCCTGACTGGGTCCCCCGGTGATGCACTCCGTGACGTGGCACCTTTTGCCGCTACTTGAGTGGTCCTCACGACGGAAGCGGACGTATATTCCCCGGGGCCCGGCTGACTTTTTCTGCAGGCGTGCAACGTGGCCGCCGGACCTATGGCCATGAACGCGGACCGCGTGAGCGTCATGCAGCCCCTGCCGGCCTTCTACTACGCGGACGCCGTCCACATGGCCGGCAGACGACAGATGTACAGCACCGACGTCTTCGGCTACATCTACGCCTTCGACGAACAGGTCTCACCCTCGCGCCGGCACGGGGCATCCTGGTTGCACCAAACCCGCCGAGTCTTTATTTTACGGCACTCTTCTCACCGGCGTTAAAAAAAAAAAAGAATGTTGGCAATTTTTTTTTCTTGGTTATTTTTTGAGGGAAGTTGTTTTAAAGAAGAATGTCAATTATATCTCGCTGGGCTAGGTTTCAAAACCAGGTCGGAAACTCGTGTGAAGCACGTATGGGAACAATAAAGACTTAGACAACTCGCCCAGCATTCCACCGCAAATGCCCCACATGCACGACGCTAGCAGGGGACGACGTCATGAGCATGCCTTATATTCTAGGCAGTAATGATCTTAATGTTGGACATCGCTGGGCGAGTTGGTTGAATCTAATTTCATAAACTTGAACAGCGCAAAAAAAAAAAAAGAAGCTTAAACACAGAATGACAACTAGTGCTATTCTAATTAAGGCTGGTATTTTGCTGATTCTTTCAGGTCTGGATGGCCCTTGGCATCGCGCTACTGGCCACCGCAGTCATCATGGTCATGTTCCAAAACAACTTCAGGCGCGTCGGTGCGATTGGGAAGTTCGTCGATTACGTCTTCCTACTCTTCGCGATGCTCCTGACTAAGGGTAAGTGTTTTCTGCGATTACCTCGTGATTACAATGCGCGTAACGCCTTCCTGTTCAGCCTTCATTTAGTTACTAGCAGTGTTGTAGGCGGTATCCAAAAAAAAAGGAACAAAATATGTTGCTCGTGCCATGTAAATAAAAGGGACGGGTTACCATTACTGTTATCGATAAAAAGTAACGGACGCTACTTTACTTTTAGAGCGCAGCTCTTAGGCGCCCGCTCCCGGCTTGAACGACGTGGGCGTCGCCGTCACCGCTCGGTGCGTCATGGGAAATGTCCCATAATGCACCGCGCGGGACCCTCGATCGTGACGTCGCTCGTGACGTCACGTGCGACGTCATGAAGGTCCCGCGCGGGGTGCATTATGGGACAGTTCCCATGATACAGCGCGCGGGGAGGAAAAGGAGGGAGGAGGAAGAGGAGGGGAGGAGGAGTAGCCGGTAGGATGAGGAGGGGAGGAAGAGGGGGAGGGTATACCTTCCCCTCAGTACCCTTCCCTCCTCCTCCTCAAGAGCTGCGCTCTAATTCGGCTTTACGAGGTGTTGTAAACGTCTTTCATTTTTTTATTCGTGAATTAAAAAGTTCGAGTTATTCTTTTGACGTTACAGGTAAGCATAAGCGTCATGTTATGAGAAATATTATGTACATGAAGGAACTTAACACAATTACCTTAACTTTGTTACGGTTCGGATTTTGAATGTACACAGGATGGGTGCAAGAATTCATGACTAGGCGCCTGGAATCACGAAAACCAAAATTGTAATATCTTTTAAGTCGGAAGAAGATAGAATAAGTAACATAGCTCACTTGAAATAAGAAACGTATCGACGGTGACAGGTTAAGAGCAAAGTGGAAGCTCCTTCCACCTCTTTGGCCGAGGCTACATCCACGCGCGGGGACGTAGCCAAGTCGGGAGGAGATAAGGCTCCATCCACGCAAAAGGTCACGTGACTTATAATATAAAAAGATAATTTGCTTTTATGTACATATTATACCTTCTTATAAGTAAATATAGGGTATAAAAATAAAGAGGTTATATTTCATTGATGTTTTAAGGTTAATATGTCACGTGACCTTACAAATGTTTAGACAATTCATTAATGGTTTACTGTTTTCTAAGACTAATAGCAAATATGATGCATCATGAAAATAGTACCAATTGAGACGTTGCCTCGTCTTTTTCTACCTTCTGGTGTGTCCTCTTTTCTGCCCCAGTCTCAGGTTTACAATCATGTTCAATATATATCTTTATATTTATGTTGTCCAGGAGTCACCAGAGTCACACACACGTGTGGGCGGCGTGCGTGCCGTGCGTGCGTGCGGGCGGTGCGGGTGCGGCCTCCGGGGCCTTCGCCCATGTGCGCATCGCTGCTGAGGCGAGGCGGAGAGGCTTCGTGGTGTTTGTGGTTGGCTTGGTTCGAAGCCTTTTAATGTGAGCTATTGTGTATCGAACGAGACAAGTACGTGCCCACCGGTTCGTACGTTCTTGATTTGCGCGCACGCTTGCAATCACACAAAGATTGTGAGAAAAGGGAAAACATGCACTAGTCCCATGAATAACAAACATACTGAGAGCATTCAATCGAGAAAACTGGGTAAAAGTTTCCAGAAACAGTTTATTCCATGACAAATAAGACAGTAGCCGATGCGCAGATGCCACTCGTCCACGAGATCACCGATGAACACGAAGCCCTGCTTGCGGCAGAACTCCTGCAGGAGCCAGTTCACGTCTCTGTGTCGATCATTCAACGCCTGGATATCGGCACTCTGACTACGCTGACACTCCATCGAAGAGAACCTGTTCCCTCGCCTAGGAAGGACGGAAGAAAAGGCGATCTGCATCGTCGATTGCGTCCCAAAATCTGAGCGGCCAGCCAACAATACTTGTCAACGTACGCGCTGGCACAAACGCTGGTTTTGTTTGTACCAAAATCGAGCAGGGCGTCAGACACCTTGGAAAACAAAGCCTCGATCCTAATGCCACTAAACGCCCGCACTTCGACAGCCTCCCGATTATTCGATGGGAAATACTAGGACAAGTATTTCACCGTCGAACCCCCGGCAACCAAAACTTGAGGCAGATCAGAAGCGCGACCGTGCTAATACTCAAACGGCCAAACTCCTTGTCCGAGAAAACAGAAAGAAAATAAAAACGCTTCAGAGAAAGTCAAAACCGCTTGCGGAAGACCAGGCAGGCACAGTAGACAGTAGTCCGCGCACGGCAGGAACGCAAGGTGCAATGGCCGCCAAGCAAATGGAAAAACAATGGGCACAATGGGAGGCTAGACCGGAAGTTGATTGTAGTGCGCCGGAAGTGACGTGTTGCGTGGATGGAGCCTTATCTCCTCCCGACGTGGCTACATCCCCGCGCGTGGATGTAGACACTCCCTATTATCCCCACCTCTTTTCAGGTTAGCTGAGCGAACGGTGGAGAGGAGGGTACCTCCTCTCTAGCGTTAGCTCTGCTCAAGGGGAAAAAGGTGGGAGGAGCTTCAACTTAACTCGTATCCAGTCGCCGACAACACGTACGTTATTCATAGGATTCCGTTTTTCAGAGTTTATTTCTCGTTAAAATCGGAGAGCGTTTTTCGGAGCTTATTTTCCGCTGAAAATTCGGGATTTACAGGAGTTTAGTTATGTTAAATTCCCGATTCTTTCAAATTCAGCTTATTTTCCATTGTTTTTAGATAAAAAGTAAGAAACAGAATATATCCGGGCACCACGACCCGTTGTCCTCAAGGAACCTCGACGTGCTAAAAGGCAAATCCCTTTTGTCAGTAGTTCTAGATTTCAAAGGAAACTGAAGTGGCCTCTCCTCAGGGCCATTGACTTTGCGTTCTTATAAAGCTTATTTGTAGAAGTCTTTTTTTCCTTTTTATTTTGTCGTTGTGGCCTCGAAGCTTAGATTTTTTCGGGTATACCCGAATTCACGGCAAATTTAGAGCCGAGTGTTTTTTTTTTTTCTTTTTTTCACATTTATTTGAAAAGACGGCCCCCATACGTTACTGTTTTGACAAGGAAACAAGGACGTTACCAACTTAAAAAAGAAACGCTAGAACAGTTACGCCGTTACTGTAACGCGTTACCTTCAACACGGGTTATTAAGGAGACACTCAAGTGGATTCTGACATCGTCTATTAATGGTGATAACTTATTCTACGGGCTATCAGCATCCTAAAATATACGAAATTACACTCCTGGGCGACCAATAAAGATAAAACGGGGTCCTAGACAGGGATGCCCTTCGTCGCCATTGTTGTTCGTGTTGTATCTATAAAGATTAGAGGAGAAGTTGGAAAAAAATCAATCGTGGGTTCGATTTTTCATAGATAAAAAATTGTGAGCAATTCCACTTTGTGAATTTTGTTGGCCAGCGAAGCTTTCGAGCCCCACCACAAATGATTCACCAAGAGACACGCAAAAACACTTCACCAAATGTTTGTTTACAGTATATATACATAATTTTGAAACTGTAGTGATAATTGCTTTGTGATCACTATGATCAACACTAAAGGGTTCCATTGCTACTAGCTGTATTTAAATATGTCAAGCAGTTACGTGACCGGACTAGAGCGAGAGAAGGCCCATTGTTCTCGAATGTATCTCCAGTATCACATGTTTCGACGTCTTTCCTTATCAAAATCCATATCGAGGTGACAGGGCGTATATGAATTTCCATACAATAGAGCGCTTTTAAAAGTAATTTCTGACCTGTTCTTGCATACGGATACCAAAAATGCATGGAACCATAGCCATATACAGCTTTGCTGTGAAAGATCGTGAAGTTATTATCAAATCTGATGTATGCTGATGATATGGTGCTAATGGCCAATAGCAACATAGAGCTTCAGTCCCTAATGAATGGACAGAGATTAGGCTTATAGTAATTCATTAGTGTCAAATCAGCGGTCATGATATTCATTGATTACAGAATTTCAGATATAAAGATATAAGGATTAGAAATCGAGCGAGTCGATATATACAAGTATCCAGGAGTATGAATTAACGAGGGTACAGAATTCCTCAATGAACATGCAAAATGTGTAACTGGTAAGGGTAACAGATAGAGAAATAGAGAACTGTGCGACTATAACAGGTACCAGGTGGGTAGGGAGGTTTAAGAAATGAAAGCCGTTTACAACTACCTGTAACGCCGAATTAGAGCGCGGCTCTTGAGGAGGAGGGGGGAAGGGTACTGAGGGTCACGTGTTCTCGGGGGGGGGGGGGGGGGGGGGGTCACGTGCCCGGGGGGGGGGGGGGGTCACGTACCCTCGGGGGGGAAGGGGCGTGACCTTGAGGGCCACGTGACCTGGGGGGGGGGGAGGCACGTGACCTCACGGTTACGCCGACGGCGTCGCCGACGCCGCTCAAGCCGGAAGCGGGCGCCTAGGAGCTGCGCTCTAAATGGAGTCATGGTTCCGAGCCTGACTTCTGCAAATGCAGTATTGTGCATAAAACTGGACGTCCAACAAGGCTAGAAATAAAGCAACGTGGAGTATAGGTAGATTGGCTCTGGGAGCACACGGTAAAACACCGAACCAAGGTGCACATGACGATATTGGATGCCCCTCATTTGAGGGCAGGGGAGCTAGCAGTAAGACTCAATTTGAGAATAGGCGAAGAGAAATAGATGCAGAACGATGGACACAAAGAGTTTTTAGCTATTTACACATGAGAAGCGCCGATACAAAATAGAGAAAGCGGACTAGAAAACTTAGATATAAATATAAGGGCAATAGCAGGGAGGCGGATGAGAAAATAGCAAGTTTTAGTAGACCGTGTTTCTCCCCCCGCTAAGCCCCTCCGCCACGGCGGGTCTCGGAACTCTACAGCAAGGCCACCAGCGCGCAGGCGCAGTGGCGGTTTCTTCGTAGTGGAGGGGGAAACACAGTCTACTAAAACTCCCTAATAAAGGTTAAAACTAAGAGGGAAATATGGAAAGCAGGCATGCAGACTAAATCGGCCTGGGAAATTTACAGATCGTTTAAGAAGGACAATGCTAAGGAGCCCATCTTCGACAATTTTCGGGGGAGCTCCTTGTTGCTTGCATGGGGCGAGCACGGGAGCATTGTGGACTAATTAGATATGGTGTGTGTAACTTGTAGAGAGGAGGAGGAGACGGCTGAGCACTTTATACTTTACTGTAAAGCCGGGGTCAGACTGTTCATACATCGTACAAAAGACCGTCTGCCAAAACGAGTCACTGCGATATCCGTGGTTAGAATGCCGCATGCCAAGTTTTCTCCTTAAACTAATTGCCATGCGGCATTCAGTCACCTATCGCGGGGCGACTCGCGTTTGAGTCAGTATTTAGACCAGGGTGTAAGATAGACAGGTGGGGAAACGGCCCAGAGAAGCCTACCGCAGCGCCGTTACCGGATTGTGTACTCGTCTGCTTGCGGGTACCCCCGATTTGCGACAGATGGCGCTGCGGCGAGAGGAAAAAAAAGTCGGAATCGAATTTGCATGAAACTTTGTGGGAGTGTGCGCAAAATAAACCTTGAGCACAACATTCCTTTATTGAAAATCCACGAGAAATCACCTCCGTCAGTTTAGCCGGTCGCCACCGGTCGCCCACCCGGAGTGAGAGTTCGCGGTGCTCCACATAGATGGCGCCACAGAAAAAGAGAAACCCGAGGGGGACACAATCCGGTCGCTCATTTGGCTCTCGTTCCCCCCCCCCCCCCCCCCCCCCCCCCCTGTCTATCTTACACCCTGATTTAGACTGTATTGCGGACCCCGGACACATGCAAAAACAAAAACAAAAAAAAAAACATTTTTTAACATCCTGCTTAGGAAAAGAAAGTCATAAAACGAATTTACGTCGAAAAGAAAAGAAAAAAATTAGATCTATATTTACGGCGCGATACGAATTTGTAGTTGGCGCCCGCGGGTGCCGCTGAAAAGTGGTCTCTATTTGCCACGTGACTGGTCCCATTTGTCACGTAGTGATTGCGCTTATTCATCTTTGTTCGAAGTGTAACAAAAAACTAAGATTAAGAGATAACTTTAGGGCCCAAAGGAAACTCCTGAAAAAGCACGAGCAGACGTGATAGACCTGTGCGCAGCGCCGGTCAGACGACGGCGGCGGCGCTCCGAAGCAGACGAACTTGTGCGGCGGCGGCGACAGCGGCGTGGAGAAACGCGTTGAAGCGGCATCGCACAACGCTCAGCGTGCGGCGGCGGCGACGCAGCGCGGCGACGCACAGGCCTACCGAGTGACCAGCGGCGGCTTCCGCGGGCGCCAACTACAAATTCGTTTTGCGCCGTAAATAGAGCCCTATTTTTTCTTTTCTTCGTTGTAAATTCGTGTTATAATAGTCTTTTTCATTAAACACACGCACTGGGATTTAGGAATAGTAAGGTGAAAGTATACATGGGGAAGGGGGAGATAACCAAGATATTATCTGACTGGGAGCATAGGCCAAGAGAAGGATGAGAAAAATTTTCTTCTCTTCCGGGCGACCCGTAAGGCGGAAGGAGTATGCACCCGGTTGCACAAGGGCGCCTCCGTCGTACGAACCGTAGTTTTAAAAATAAATCTCTAGATATATAACTTTATGTTAACTAAATGTTAAAAAAAAACACTGACTAGGTGGCGCAAGCTGCCACCGATTCAAATTGTTCTGCCTCATCTATCCATCCATCCATCCATCCTTTAGACAATACTTTCTAAACTATGTCTACTACTCCCAATGGTTTGACGTTTTTTGTCCAATTCTATAATGCACAACGCGCCTGATAATAACAATTAGAGGAATGTTCGGAATCTTCACGCAATAACTATATCAAGGATGCCCTCCCCCCCCCCCCCCCCCCTCTTTCCGTTCCCCCAAGAGAGAATAGTGACCGCATACTGTGAGTTTACTGGACGTCTTGCCACGTAGAACTGGTCATTGAATTGAAAGCCCAACATACAATATGTCGATCGTCAAGAACACGTTTCTACGAAAAACAATTGAGTGCCCCTTAAATAATGAAAATATAATGTAAATATTCTTTACCACCTGAGACGCCTAAGATCAATTATAAACACTTTTGTTTTTTCTTCACAGAGCAGATTTTGTGAAAGTCAGGGAAACAAAACACACCCTTTTCGAAGTCCTTGCCTCCCGTTTGAATAGACGCTGTTTAAAAGTAAATCAAGCAACATTGGCAGTTGTCGTTTCCTGGTCACAAAGCGTGTGACTGGATCCGAGTCCTTCCCCAACACTGACGCAGCCCTCATGCCCAATGCATGCTAGAGCGCGTCGCCAAGCAATGCCCAACTCTGATAATTGGCGTAGCAGCTGCCAGGGGGCGCGCGCTTTCGAAAGGTTATACGGAGTGAAAACAAGACAAAAATAAATTTACCACGCAATTAAAAAAAAAAAAAATCTTTTCGCTTCAGTCATTGTTCTCTCTCCGTGTCCTTGGGTCTTCCTTCGCCGTCTCCAATGTCTGACATTCAGTTTAGCGACGATGTAACGGGGATGCATCCGAGGTCCAACGGTTACTGGTGAGCGACAAAGTAAAAACTCAGATAGGTAATGGATGAAGAAAGAATAAAACAATTAAAACAGGGACAACACAACCACATCTTTCAACTAGCAACAGACAAGTAAACTTTCAAACAGCGAGCAGCCGACTATACCCAGTAGGAGTAGGGAAAGAAGGGGGAGAGAAGGAAAGGAAAGAAAAGAAACGCGAAGTGCAAGTCAGGGTGGTAGGGTTATCTCGGATTTTAAAAATTCAACCTCAGTTTTCGTCAGCAGGAGGGAAGGGTTAGACACGTTGTTTTTTGCTGTGGTCATCGCGAATGATTCTATGATTTCCCTGCCGAATCTGCTGTCATGTCCCCCCAGGATTTTTGTGTCATCAAAAAGGGGATGACAACTTCTGCTGACGAAAACTGAGGTTGAAGTTGTCATCCCCTTTTTGATGACACAAAAATCCTGGGGGGACATGACAGCAGATTCGGCAGGGAAATCATAGAATCATTCGCGATGACCACAGCAAAAAACAACGTGTCTAACCCTTCCCTCCTGCTGACGAAAACTGAGGTTGAATTTTTAAAATCCGAGAAAACCCTACCACCCTGACTTGCACTTCGCGTTTCTTTTCTTTCCTTTCCTTCTCTCCCCCTTCTTTCCCTACTCCTACTGGGTATAGTCGGCTGCTCGCTGTTTGAAAGTTTACTTGTCTGTTGCTAGTTGAAAGATGTGGTTGTGTTGTCCCTGTTTTAATTGTTTTATTCTTTCTTCATCCATGACCAAAACCAACACGCTCTTCTCCCAAGCATCAGATAGGTATACGACGTATCTCTTCTTTCTGACAAGCCAGGCGCACCTCCTGAAGTCACATTGCCTTGGGTTATATTGATCTCATGAGATTTGACATATTTAAATCTATGCATAATGTGTCCACAAAAAAAAACAAAAAACATTAGGCAACATTATGGCAAGCGGGCCCTTCTCGCAGGTCCGTCGCGATGTCCGGACAACACGAGGATGCTCATCGCGGTCTGGTGGCTCGGCGTCATCTTCACGACTACCACATTCACGAGTCATATGCAGGCCAGCATGACCATCAAGACGGAAGCGCCGCGCATCGAAAGCGTAAAGGACATCGTGAACAGGCCCGACATCTTGCCCATCATCATCGACGGCATGGCCTTCGACGTCATATTCAGCGTATGTACGTCCTAGTAGATGCTGCACACAGCACTCTGTGGACTGCGGCGAAAGGACTCTTAATTGGCAATCACACTGCTCGTAAAGAAAGGCTGCTGCAGCCGCGATGCCAACGTTATCATACGGACACGTCACAAGCATGTTTTTTTCGTACATGTATGTACGCTTCGAACATGTTTACAGCCAGTTTTAGTACGACCAATATGACCGTGATACAACAGCGTCTCCAGACTGCCTTTTGTGTGAGGTATTAAGCCAGAGTCCCACTAGAGCGACAGACAGAAACAAATGACAGCGACAAGCCTCAAACCAGAGTCTTTCGCGATTTGAGAGGCTTTGTAGAATAAAGGAGGCTATGCTCAAACATGACCATCATTCACGTGAGGATATCTTTAGCAGGCTTGCAATCGCTCGTGCTTATTTCAGGAGCACCGAACGACTAAACGCCTGCCAAAGGTACCATCGCGAGCATGCCGCATGGGTTTGAGGTTTGTCGCTGCCTTTTGTTTCTGTCTGTCGCTCTAGTGGGACACGGGCATTAGCTGTATGAAAGCGGCTTTAGATTGAGTTGATTGACCTACCTCGTGATGTTCGGTGAAGTTGACACAACGGCTGCGGATTTAGGAAATAGTTCTATTCCGATCGGATTTGGCGGTTTGAGCACAACCAGCTCTTTCGAATGTCTATAAATGGATACGCTTCACGCAAACATTTTCTGCTAACGTATTACAATCACAATCAGAAAACCACTTTAAGTCGCGATCACTCTGCTAATATATCATACAAAAAAAAAAGTGCACTGTCTAAGGCGTGTTTCTTCCCTGTATGGACGGTTTGAAGTCACATTGGTCATAAAAAAAGTTGTCTGCAGACATGATCGAAGCATACGTATGTACGAAGCAGACACAGCGGCTGCGTTTTGACAAAACAAAAAAGTGTTTTTAGTTGAACTTTGCGGTAACTGTCCCTATGCTTAAAGGGGTAGTGCAAAGGCACAAAGAAAACCAAATGCTGCTTCAAAGGGCACGCCTATCAGTGTAAAACACGAGCGTTCAGTGACGACACTGGTCTTGAGCGTCGGATAATGACGACACATAAATCTAGAGGCAGGACTGGCTGAATAGTTCCACGTGACCGCATCTGATCCTTTCAAGCGCGTGATTCTCACTCAAATTTTGCTTGGAACACCCGTAAATCAGTGGGGCGTTCACATCTTCATAACTGGATGTTAACTACAGCAATTAGGATGATCTTGTCGCACGCTCTTGTCGTTTCGGTTTTCTATTTCTTCAGAGCACAATGGCGTCATCAACAATTGAAAATATGCTCAAATTTTTTAACTTCTTTCACCTATTATGTTCAAAATACATTTTTTTTTTTTATGTGTTGCTAGAGTTCCACACGCTAGTTCGAGCGAACGCGATGCACATTTTAAAAAAAAAAGACCAGAAACGCTTTGCAGGGAGCACAACCAACTCACTTGGATATGTCAAAGTAAATACGCGTCACGCAAACATTTTCTGCTAATTGCCGAATCCGCACTGTTGAGAAATGCCATTAATTTACGTGGAAAATGAGGATGTAACTCATCCCGTTAATCGGCATTGCATCCAGTGTACCGCTTTCGTGCGGCTACGGGAACTGTTCCGTAAAAATACGTAAGGAATGCGAATTGAAATTGTCCCATTTGTTGGCCTTGCAACGATTGTGCCGTTTTCATGCTGAAACAGGAAGTGTACCGTACAAATTCAAACATGCAATTTTGCTGAGGAGCACCAGTTGCCCGTGTACGACGATGCCCCTAACGAGGATATTACAAAGTAACAACTCGTGTTTTCAAAAAACGTCCTACCAGCACCGGGCGTGCATAAAAGCGGCAAAAATTATGAATTTTGAATGTGAGGCATTTTTCGGTGCACCTTTCTCACTGGTTTTCCTTCGGTATAGGTTGTTGTGAGTGATAAAACGTGAACGTATGCGAGGAGCGCAAACGAAAAGCTAACCAGATCTCGTCCCGAAGCGCCGCCGTCTCGGGGCGAGAGGGTTTACGTGATTAGCACATGATTAGGTGATTACGTAATTATACGATCTTACGTAATTAGGCCCAACGTAACAACGGCGGTGCCTCAAGGTGAGAGGGTTATATGATTAACTCGTGATTACGTAATCACGTGATCACATATTCGCATATTCTGACCAGTCTTGGATAGTAACGCATTACTATACGAGTTACTGTAACTTCGTTACTTTTTTGGTAACTTGTAACTGTAACGAGTTACTTTTTGAAAATGTAACTTGTAACTGTAGTTCTATGACTTTTTCTCAGGTAACTATGAAAGTTACGACGTTACTTTTGTCGTTACTTTCCAGTTTTTGATGAAAAATATATGATTGAACGAGCACAATCTAGCTATTCCTTGCACTTTCCAAATTGTCTGTTCCGACGTTTTGAGTGTTAAGTAGGCCTTGCACAAACTTGTAAATGCGTTCTTTCTCGCGATTCATCATATGACCCGAAAATGGCCACGTGTAGATGTGATGAATTAAAAAAAAAAAAAAAGAAACCTAGTTATATTTATTCACGCGCTTGTACTTTGTGACTGAACACTTACATCTTAGTATCTTGAAACACTAACTATGTTGCGGCTGTTCTTTTCTTTTTTTTCTTTTTTTTTTTTGCGCAAACGCTTTTTAATCGGGTGAGTCGACCGTGAAATAACAATGCACACAAAGGGCATTGCGAATGTGTCGTATTTTGGTTATCGCCACTTATCCGCACTGCGCATGTATGGTATTTTGATTTGCACCACTACTCCGGCTTGGTGTTAACAGTCGAGGCAAAATTTAGTGCTGTTTGCGCGGGGTTTGCTTGTTGCTTTTGTTGCGCGGGGTCTGTTCAGCAAGGGCAGGGACGTGTTCGCCATCAAACGAGGGAAACTTTTCAGACACTAATTTCGAGAAGCAACTGCTGCTAAGTTACAATATGAAGTAAAAAGCGTACTTTTTTTTAATTTTATGCAATAAAACTTGGTGGGCGGCGTTTTCTAGTTTTTTCTAAATTTTTCGTGTTATAGAAACGTAACTGAAAAGTAACATCGTTACTTTTTAAAAGTAACTGTAACTGTAACGAATTACTTTTTAAAAGTAACTTACCCAAGACTGATTCTGACGTACTTAGGCCCCACGTAACAAGGGCGGCGCCTCAAGGTAATTGGATTATGTGATTAACGCATGATTACGTGATTACGTAAGACGTAATCAAGTAATCTTACGTAATGGGCCTTTTCCAAATACCGACGGCACCAGGCGGTGGCTGCACGAACTACAAATCGAGGAAGTGACCTACCTGCGCTACCAATCGATACTGAGAGCTACGCTACCAGTTGCTTCGCTCTCTGAGCTGCGTCGCGTGCCCAACGCGACTTTAAAGAGGGAAATCCGTAGCGTCCACCCAAACGTCGTGTTTTTCTTTCCGTCCACTTTCTTTTTTTGTGTAACACAATTATATATATGCTGCAATTACGTGTTCTACTCGTCGATCTACAGCCTCATTCCGAATTTCCTCGATTTTTCGTGCCGACTTCCACCGCTTGGCATCGGGCGCTCGCGCGTGCGCAGAACGCTTCTCGGAAAAGGTCCATTATGCCCAACGCAAGGTTAGGCCTAATTGACCACGTAAGCACGTAAGCTTACGTAATTAGACCTATCGTACGGTTAGGCTTAACCTTATATCGGCGTAATTGCGTAAGATTACGTGATCACGTAAATACGTCTTCATGGGGTATTCACGTAACAATTAGGACCAACGTAAAGTTAGGCCTAACCTTACATTCTGCCTTAATACGCATGATTACATGATAAAGGAGCCTTGCTTGATTACGATTAACGTTAGGCCTAACCAAACGAGATAACCGATAACATGATCGTACGTGACACGTGATCACGTAAGGTTATGCCTAAGGTTAGGCCTAAGTACTGTATATATGTAAAAGCACACATACAAAACTTGAAAGTATAAAACAGCGAGGACGAGGACGGGACATATGTCAGTTAGTGACAACATAGAATGGCAGAACGATAAAACCGTCACGTGACCCCCCCTAGGTCCTTCCTTCGGGAGGACCTAGGGGGGTCACGTGACGATGACGTCATCAGTGATGATGACGATGCCGATGCGGATGCCGATGACGTCACCAGTGACGTCACTGATGACGTCATCAGTGACGATGACGATGGCGATGCGAATGCCAATGACTTCATCGGCATCCGCATCGTCATCGTCATCATCACTGATGACGTCATCATCACGTGACCCCCCAGGACCTCGGGTTCCTTCGGGAGGACCTCGGAAGGACCTCGGGTTCCTTCGGGAGGACCTCCGGAGGACCTCGGGCTCCTTCGGGAGGACCTCGGGTTCCTTCGCGAAAACCTGGGGGGCGGGGTCACGTGACCTGCGGGGTCACGTGACGATGACGTCATCAGTGATGATGACGATGACGTCCTCAGTGACGTCACTGATGACGTCATCAGTCATGATGACGATGGCGATCCGGATGCCAATGACGTAATCGGCATCCGCATCGTCATCGTCATCATCACTGATGACGTCATCGTCACCTGACCCCCCAGGTCACGTGACCCCTCCCCCCGAGGTCACGTGACCCCCCCCCCCCTTCTGAGGTCAACTAATCCCCCCAGTACCCTTCCCTCCTCCTCCTCAAGAGCTGCGCTCAAATTCAGCGTTACAGGGAGTTGTAAACGGCTTTCATTTTTTTTTGGTAACTTTTAACTGTAACGAGTTACTTTTTGAAAATGTAACTTGTAACTGTAGTTCTATGACTTTTTCTCAGGTAACTATGAAAGTAACGACGTTACTTTTGTCGTTACTTTGCAGTTTTTGATGAAAAATATATGATTGAACGAGCACAATCTAGCTATTCCTTGCACTTTCCAACTTGTCTGTTCCGACGTTTGCACAAAGTTGTGAATGCGTTCTTTCTCGCGATTCATGACCCGAAGATAGCCACGTGTAAATGTGATGAAAAAAAAAAAAAAAAAAAGAAACCTAGTTATATTTATTCACGCGCTTGTACTTTGTGACTGAACACTTACACCTTAGTATCTTGAAACACTAACTATGTAGCGGTTGTTCTTTTTTTTTTTTGCGCAAACTTTTTTTATTTGGGTGAGTCGACCGTGAAATAACAATGCACACAGAGGGCATTGCGATTGTGTCGTATTTTGATTATCGCCACTAATCCGCACTGCGCATGTATGGTATTTTGAATTGCACCACTACTCCGGCTTGGTGTTAACAGTCGAGGCAAAATTTAGTGCTGTTTGCGCGGGGTTTGCTCGTTGCTTTTGTTGCGCGGGGCCTGTTCAGCAAGGGCAGGGACGTGTTCGCCATCAAACGAGGGAAACTTTTCAGACACTAATTTCGAGAAGCAACTGCTGCTAAGTTACAATATGAAGTAAAAAGCGTACATTTTTTTAAATTTTATGCAATAAAACTTGGTGGGCGGCGTTTTCTAGTTTTTCTAAATTTTTCGTGTTATAGAAACGTAACTGAAAAGTAACATCGTTACTTTTTAAAAGTAACTGTAACTGTGACGAATTACTTTCTAAAAGTAACTTACCCAAGACTGATTCTGACGTACTTAGGCCCCACGTAACAAGGGCGGCGCCTCAAGGTAATTGGATTATGTGATTAACGCATGATTACGTGATTACGTAAGACGTAATCAAGTAATCTTACGTAATGGACCTTTTCCAAATACCGACGGCACCAGGCGGTGGCTGCACGAACTAAAAATCGAGGAAGTGACCTACCTGCGCTACCAATCGATACTGAGAGCTACGCTACCAGTTGCTTCGCTCTCTGAGCTGCGTCGCGTGCCCAACGCGACTTTAGAGAGGGAAATCCGTAGCGTCCACCCAAACGTCGTGTTTTTCTTGCCGTCCACTTTCTTTTTTTGTGTAACACAATTATATATATGCTGCAATTACGTGTTCTACTCGTCGATCTACAGCCTCATTCCGAATTTCCTCGATTTTCGTGCCGACTTCCACCGCTTGGCATCGGGCGCTCGCGCGTGCGCAGAACGCTTCTCGGAAAAGGTCCATTATGCCCAACGCAAGGTTAGGCCTAATTGACCGCGTGAGCACGTAAGCTTACGTAATTAGACCTATCGTACGGTTAGGCTTAACCTCATATCGGCGTAATTGCGTAAGATTACGTGATCACGTAAATACGTCTTCATGGGGTATTCACGTAAGAAATAGGACCAACGTAAAGTTAGGCCTAACCTTACATTCTGCCTTAATACGCATGATTACATGATAAAGGAGCCTTGCATGCGTGATTACGATTAACGTTAGGCCTAACCAAACGAGATAACCGATAACATGATCGTACGTGACACGTGATCACGTAAGGTTATGCCTAAGGTTAGGCCTAAGTACTGTATAGTAAAAGCACACATACAAAACTTGAAAGTATAAAACAGCGAGGACGAGGACGGGACATATGTCAGTTAGTGACAACATAGAATGGCAGAACGATAAAACCGCCCCCCCCCCCCCCCCTTTCCCCGAAGGTTTGAACGTTCTCAAAGAGGGAAAGGAGATAATTGTTATAAAAGAAAGGGAACTTACTATAAATATAAAAGTTCAAAAATCGCTGTCGTCACGACCAGAGGTTTTTAAAGCGACTTGATGCGATGCGCTTTCTTTGCGCATTATGCCGTTTACATGACCGCATTGAATGCGACAACTGGATTCGATGCGACTAAGTCGCATTCATGTAAACGCGGCTAGAGAGAAAGAAAAAGCTTCAGGTACACCTAAGCATTTCTTATCAGTTGTGAATGCGAAAGCATGCAAGCCGCTCGTCCGCTCCCGTTGTCGTCTGCTACGTATACTAGCGCGCGCGCGCTACGGGATCTCGGAGGCCATGGCGCAGCGGCCAGTGGGAACCCCGTCGACGCGCTCAAGCCAATGGAACCGAAGACGAAATCGCAGAAACTATACTCTGTTTCATACTTAGCGTGCAACGCTTTCAAAAGGGAGTTTTCGTAGACCGCGTTGCTCCCTCCGCTAAGCGTTCCGCAACGAAGAAGTTGCTACTGCGCCTGCGCGCCGATAGCCTTGACTGTGGAGTTCCCGCTATCGTAGCGAGTTGCGGAGGGCCTTGCGGGACGGCGAAAACGATCTACGAAAACTCCCTAAAGTAACTGGCGCGAGCGTGGGGCTTTATCGTTGATCATTTGCACGCGATCTCGCGCAAACAAAACCATAGATGAAACCACGCGCTAGCGCCAGTAGCTTTGACAGCGTTGCACGCTAAGTACGAAACAGAGTATAGGAGCCGTTTTCGCGCTTCAAACTGATGACGTCAGCTCCCTCCAAGAGACCAGTTAATGCTTTCGCATTAAAAAATCAAATATGGTTATGGAGAGAATGGCAGCCTTAAAAAAACACGTGATAGAATTGATCAATATCATCACACGAAAAAGCCCATGGTCCTTATCGTTTTCTCTTTGATTCGTGGTAAAGAGAACTGAAATTTTGATTCCTTCAAGGACCATGGTTCGGCCGTCAGCTAGAGCATTACCATTGACAAAGTTGTGTAAACGGCAGCTATACCACTTATCGTGCCAGTAAAATGTATGAGACTCATTCTACCCACCGAGACCCGTTGACGTTGTATTCCTTCATCCCCGCGTTCACTATATCTTACTGCAATCACATATTACAACAGAAAGCACTATGGAAAAAAGGGTGTCGTTTTACGCCTTTGTCCCATACAATGCACCCCAAAGCTTTAGCTCAACGTACAGTGCACTGGCGTCGAACAGACGGCCCTAACTTTTAGGAGGGGCTTGATAACGGTGGAGGTATGCCTCATTAAACAGCTAAAGTATGTATCTCAACGACGACAGAAAAACACTGAGGTTTTGCAGTAGGACCAATAAAGCCTCGATTACTTTTGTTTTATACAGTAACACGTACATTAGCTATTTTAATGTGTGTACTCGGCTTTCAAGGCCCTCGTGAAAGTCGGTACCGTCGGTTTGACGTCAGCGCGTCGACCGTCGAACTGAAGTTTTGGGCTGTCTTCTATGGTACAACAACGGGTGTAAGAATATACCTTTTTTTTCTGAGAGAGGGTCGTGAATCATTGTAATATCTTCAGAGGGTCAACCACGCGCAATGTCTCTCAACAACCACAGAAGGCACAAACAGCTTCAAAGGCAGTTATTCATTCGTGTAAAATGGGCAGCTCTTGGGCAGCTAACTAGAGTGCCATATGGGCAACAAGATCTCTTGCCGTGTGATGTTTCGCTGCCTGGCGAAGCAATCGCATGAGTTTTTCCGGCACACCAGAAAGAAGCCTTGCAACGGCTTGTGCGCAGACCTCAACCTTCCCCGAAGACAACGAGGTGTGGAGGCGCATCCAGAAGGAGCAGAGCCAGTGGTCCTTCAAGCGCGTCTTCTCGCGAGACACCTACGAAGGCGTTTTGGACGGCAAGAAGGTCGTCTTCATGGAGCAGTCCCTGTACCACTACAGCGTCCAGCTGCTCTACCCCGATGAACCGCCCAGGGGACAGTTCTACTTAGGCAAGAAGAAAGCCGTCACGCTCCCTGCCTCCATGTACGTCAGCTACGACGCGCCCCAACGTGTCAAGAAAGCTTTGCACCGAATGTACGTAGCCGCGTTCTTTTTCAATCTTCAATGAATCTTTATTCATCTTTAGTAAACATCAAATCATTGCATACTGCATCTGTATCCTTAGCTATTGGGGCTAGTTTTTCATTCATTCCTGGATAGAAAAATAAGGCGTGCGGGTTTTACCTGGCGCGCATGTTAGTGCCGCACGAATAATAAAATTCAAATAACAAAATTCAGGGTTCACAACGTTTCTAGTTCCAACTACAATACTTGGCATATTTTACTTCGTGCTAGATAACAGAAAGTATAAAACAGAGAGAGGACGAAACACAGACGAGTACATTCTTTCAACTCTCAACAAAGTTTATTCCATGGGGTGCGAACGTATGTTCCCCTGCGCAGACTTAGGGAAAGGGGGAAAGGGCAGAGGCAGAGGGGGAAGTAAGAGGAAGGAAGGGAGGGTGGGAGAGGCGGCTGGGTGCGTGGACTCGTTGGGGTCGGGCCGCTCACCGAGGTCGTCTAATCACCCCGGACAGCTCTTGGCTCAGATAATCTATCTCTCTATCGGAGAGTCGGTTACAAGTCAAGAAGGTAGGAGAAGCTCCTCCCACAAGTGTGATGCGCCCTTTTCAAATCTCTCCGCAGTCGAAAGAAGAGTTCACTGGAAACGCTCCTTGTTCCGCTTCAATGGATTCCCACTTGTCTCCGATCCCACTTTTTACGAAAGCGACCTTTGTATTCATCGGAGAGGGAACCGAGCCCCTGAAAGCAGCCTTTGTATCCATCGGGAGGGAAGCTAATCCCCGAAAGTCGTATTTGTTTCCGTCGGTGGGGGAGAACTCTAATCTCCCTCTCGTGGCTTCCACAGTGCTAAGTCAAAGTCGAAAGATAAAGCAAATATGTACAGAAAGGCAAGACCCTCCTCGCGCGTTGTCCGCGACGTCACGGAAACGGTGGGACGCTATTGGATGCAAAGGTGGCGGAGGGATATCTGATTCCCTTTGAGGGGCATTTGCCGCTACCTTCTTAAAGGGCAACTCCGCTTAATTTCAAAAATTTTGAGATAGTGGCCGATTTCGTTTTTTGAAGCACTCAAAAACAATCCCCAATCCTTTGTTTCGCGAAAAATCTAATATTTTTCGTGTAATTTTACTCTAGCCATGATCACAAACCGAAACCGAAACGGTGGCAAAGCCGGACAACATTGTATATTTGGCATCACTAAGCATGTAGACCCACGTGATATACAAGGGGAAGGAGCTCCCCTCTTATCAGGATCCTCCTTTGTGCCTCCTGGATTAGCACGGGCGTCGCTATTCTCCTCCCAGAAGATTATAGAAGATTAACCTGTCACTCAAAATTCTTACAAAAGCAGCTTCCCTCTCCTCCTTTTACTTGGTGTTCAAAAGTATGCGATGTAACACAAGCCGCGTTAAACAAGGCGATCGGCTTATCAGTAGTATCAATAGTCGAGCGCCGGGCCGGCCGAGCGCGTCACTCACGTCTTTCACGGCGCTGGCGCCACCCGTGCTCTCCCCGAGAAAGAAAACAAAATCGAAAAACAAAAAATAAAAGAAGCTGTACATGCTTGATGACGTCGCGGACGTGCCGGGAGAGGAATTTGGAGGAAGCGGAAATGCAGCCGGGCAGTGTTGTCTGGCCCGCACGTCTCATCCAAAACCAGCGGATTCGTGCTTGTCAAACTTTGACAGCGATTTTAATGAACTTCTAGGCGGAATTCCGTCGTAATATTTGCCATGGGGGTTTTGTAGATGATAACGAAGAGAACTGTATAGTTTTGCACTACTGGAAAAGAAGCGGAGTTGCCCTTTAAAGGGGTCATGAAACGCTTTTCCAACTTTTTCCTGTTTAGCTTTCCTCCTCAACTCATAAATCGCGCATTCCACCAAACAGTCAAAGAAGACGAAAAGGGGGAGTCTCCTCTTGCTCGCACCCTCGTTTGTGTAATCCGGACGCATCCATTCTCCCCCTAGAAGATTAGCCCGTCGCTCAAAATTCAGACAAAAGTTGCTTTCCCCACCCCGTTCATTCCGAAGCTGACAGTGCTGTTGAAGCTACGTGCTCGTTGGGCCAGCCACACTTTCCACGTGAGCGTGGCAAATGTGGCTGCAGAGAATGAAGTCAGGTGATGAAAGGGAGGCGGCTGATTGGTCCGGCAAGCGCGTAGCTTCCACCACAATGTCAGCTTAGGGGTGAAGGGAATAAGTGAGGTCCGGTTGCGTGTGACGTCAGTTTGGACCCGATGACACGCTTTTGGGACCGCGGATGTATCACAGTGAAAAGGCAGAGAGGTTGCGAAGGGGAGGAGGTACGAAATAGTCCGCTCTGTTTTCAAATTTTCGCACTGAAAGTCAGGCTTTTGACTTTCTACCTTTTTTCTTTTGGTCCACTGAACGATGTGCTATTAGTTAAATCCCAATCTAAAATGATTTATCCCAACCCAAAAATCGTTTCATGGGCCCTTTAACCTGTAACTGACTATAGCGAGGGGGAAGAGACATTGACGACGGAGTTTTTTATCGCAAAAGATTCGATAACTTCCCTGCCGAATCTCTGAGGATGGCGACCTAGCACGCGCGTTTTTTTGAACCTTGGCTTACATCCTCCGCATGTGCGACGATGTGCTGCAATCGGGTGCACCGTTTCCTCGCTGGGATCGGCGACCTCTCGGAGGAAGTGCTCCCTCAGGCGGTCATTTAGGCACCGGCCCGTTTGCCCGATATATTCGTTTATTCCATAAAGTTTATTTAATTAATTAATTAAAAATAAAGTTTATTAATAAAGTTTAGTATTAATAAAGTTAATTAAATAATTATTCATTATTTAATTAATTGAATTTAATTAATTAATTAATTAATTAATTAAAAATAAAGTTTATTAATAAAGTTTAGTATTAATAAAGTTTATTAATTAAAAAATAAAGTTTATTCCATGGGGTGCGAACATACGTTCGCACCCCATGGAATAAACTTTGTTGAGAGTTGAAAGAATGTACTCGTCTGTGTTTCGTCCTCTCTCTGTTTTATACTTTCTGTTATCTAGTACATCGTACCAACACGCTCGTTAGGAATATAATTTACTTCGTGGTTTTCTCCAGCACGTTGCGGGATTTATGGTAGGCAATGAATTAACCACGCGACCATATACAATTTTTCACTCCGTTTGCCATACGCAGGTATACGTGGATTGCAAGCTCATGCAGCGGACTTTAGTCGGCGTCAGGTTAACAGTTCAGGGGAAGCTTTTCCTAGAGCGAACGCTGGGGAGAAGGTCGCCTCCCCTCTAGCGCTCGCTCTACTAAAGTGGGAAGAAGTGAGAGGAGCTTCCCCTGAAACTCTCAACCTGTCACCGACTATAGTACCATCTAGGTACAAGATCTTTGCACAATTGAGTCTCCACGGCACCCAACATCACACCAGTTGCCTGGACACCGCTGGCTATTTGCCTCATCAACAAGATCAGGCGAATACGATAAAACGCGTGCTGCGAGACGCAGCTAATCAACGTCATCTCTACCCGTTATCGGACCACTGGCGGCGCGTAATGGCGAAAAGTAAAGTCCCTCTACTCAGGGCCGCCCTGGCGCTGGATAGCGGGACCTGATTATTAGCCGATTAGATTGTCCTTAAGCCTAAAGATCAAACTGGTCGGCAAGTATTTCCGTGCACCGGCCGGCGTCCTTCACGCCCACTCTCCCCAAACTATATGCGTGCTAAGTAATACTAATATAATCAGAAGAAACGCTAAAAAGGAGTGCATTTCTTGTGATCTTTTGCTCTCAGCCGTTTGTGTCCACTGCGCATGTTCAAAGCATGTTTGCCTTGTACACCAACACGCGACTCTGACGTCAAGCCTCTGCGGTGGCGCTGTTGTCGCCACGGCGCATGCGCAGAAGCTTCACCCCACGCGAATCTGGTGTCTGCACTCGCGCAGTGTCCAGACCTGGTGTGGGCAAGCGCTGACTCGTTTGGAAACAGTGTGTCGGTCTATGTGCATGCTTGGGACATGTTTGAGAGAACCGTTCTCGTATGATCAATGTGACAGGTCTGTTCTACAGGGAAGAAACATGCCCCAGACAGTGTCTGCAGACTGCCTTTTGTACGATGCATTAGTGGTGTGACCACGGCTTTAAACATGGACCACAGTTCGCAACCGTAAGAAGAGCCAGACTTCTTGCATGGCCACCCACGGTACACTGATCGTTGCGCAGGTCTCGCTGGATCTGCGAGTCCGGCGTGATTGACATGCACCTCAACAACGTGCTGCTCAAGACCTGGAAGATGCAAGACGTTCATCATCTCCAGGCCAACGCCCTGAGCGTGGACGACGTGTTCGGGGTGTTCGCGCTCTGGGCCATCGGCATGGCTCTGGCTGCGACGGCTCTCCTGGTCGAATGCGCGCATGTGGCCGTCCGCAAGCTTGGAAAGCCCAAGAGAACGACCCGTATTGCGCTCTCGTACTTGCGCTGATGAACAGCCCAGGCATTGTTCAGGGAGCAACTTTAGCAAGAGAGAGATAGAAAAAAAATATTGACTGAGACTTATCTCCAAAGTCCTCTAATGCATGAAATGTACAGGGTGTACCCGGAAAAAATTGACAGGTTTTTCTTTCGGCGCAAAAATGAACTAGGCATCGCCGAACGCTCATTCTCTGCCCAAAGGTAGCGGCAGAGGTTCGAAACAGATGCCAAAGTTTCAGCGCGAACCGATATTTAATTTGAAAGTTATAAATGATTCTCTGAAAATGTCAATGGGAAAATGGTGGCCGACGGAGCTCTCGAATACATGGTGCTCTATGGCGCCAGAAACCGAAAACGGGCGAAAATGGGCCCCATTTTCCCATTGAATGTTATAGAAAATCGCGTATAACTTTTGAATAAAATATCAGTTCGTGCCGAAACTCTGGCATTTAGTTCGAACCTCTAGCGCTACCTTGGGGCGGAGAATGAGCGTTCGGCCATGCATAGTTTATTTTTGCGCTAAAAAAAACCATGTATTTTTGTTTCGAAACAGCCTGTAGTATTTGAACAGCGATCGTTTAAATTTGTTTAGAAGGTATTATACAGTCGTTTGGGAGTATACCTACATGAAGTATACCTACATGTTTATCAATTTCCCCGCTAAAAAAGAAACGTCACATGACGTCAATTTCCCCGCTAAATTTAGCGGAAAACTCATTTGGTGTAATAGGGCACGTGACGTGATCATAATGATGACGTCACGCGACGTCATCAAATTAGGTCATTTGACGTCATGTGACGCGAGTTCACTTTACGCAAAATCACGTGACGTACAGTCACGTGACAACAAGTTTTCCGCGAAATTTGTCGGAGAAAGTGTATTGAACTATTGTTCGTGACGTCAAGTAGCGTGACATCAATTGTAATGCTAAATTTAGCAGGGAAGCTGAATTGTTATGTGAGTATCTTGACATCAAATCAAGTGACATCAATGTTTAATCTAAATATACTAGAGAAATTTAATCTGTCTATTGTCCACGTGACGTAAGTTTCCTCGCTAAATTTAGCGGGAAATGCAAGGACGGACGGACCGACAAAGTTTGGGGGATTGGGGTTCTATTAAAAAGTACTTGATACTTTGAAAAGTATCTCCTGAAGAGGCTTGCAGTCACCGACAAGTTAAGAAGCGAAGGGTGTGACGAGTCCCGATAAAATTGCTCCGCAGCCAATGAGATTGAGTCGTTGGCAGATAAGAAAGCTAAAGAACAAACCGCCAAGCAATTAAGAAGCGTAAATTTAGATCAAACGACGTCCGGATGTCTTAAGTTGTCAGTCATTCTAGAAGTATTATAGTGAACGGGAGGTTGCACCTACAAGGACACACCACATTAAGATAAAGTAACAGATTTCAGAGCATGGCATTGATTAAGGCAATTGAAACATTCGCGACTGCAGCTTAGCGCGATTATTTTGCGCCTGGGCACGTTTCGGCACTAGTTCTATCTTGGTGAAGATAATAAAGCTACGTCACAACACACCCCAATGTGGAAAGAACGCTGTATTTGGGGCGGGGGGGAGGAAGCCATGATCTCTTATTTTCCTCACCGCAGTACACAGTAGAAGCGACGCGGTAAGAGCGAGATTGACAATGGCTCTTCTTTGTATTTCAATAAGAGAATAATATCAATGTTCAATAAGTGTTAGCGGCTTAGTTGGCTCGCACAGCGCGCGAGCACATTTGGAACACTAATTGTCTTGATAGTAATTTCTTTAGTTGTAAGAAAAACAAAATAAACCGGCGACCGCTTGTTTCGTGGGTGTGATGTTCTCCACCAGTTGCTTCGAAGCATCGCAAGAGAAAGTGTGCATACGAACTATAAAAAAAGAACAGACATTATAATCGAAACACTGGAAATAAAATACCAGACCAGCTGTTGGGTTATGATATACATTTTTTTTTATTCGTTTTCTCCACTATTGGTATTTTATTAAGGCCAGAATGCGTCTTTGGTCAAAGTCGGACCGAACTGCGATGGCTTTTTTCTTGGCCCTGCTCGTCACATATTTCAATATACAGGGTGTATGTATAGTGCTTTTTTCATGCGGAAATAAACTACGCACCCTCGATCGCTCAGTTTCCGTCAAAATGCTCCGCTAACGGTTCGAGCCGTGCAGCTGCAAAAGTTACAGAACTACCTGTTATCTTACTCAAAATTTAAAAGTGATTTTCTGCAAATTGCAAAGGAAAAATGGCGCCCGTTGCTCGTAACTGGCGCCATTTATCTCCATCTATTCGAGGGCTCCATCGGCCACTATTTTCACATTGAACATTTCAGTCTTTTAAACAAGATACCGATTAGTTCTGAAACTTCGGCATTTCGGTCAGACCGCTAGCGCTACATTGGGGCGGAGAATAAGCCTAAGCCTTCCGTGATGCGTAATTATTTTTGCGGTAAAAAAAAAAACAAAAAAACACACTACTTTTTTTACTTTTTGTTTTTTTTTTTTGAGTGACACTTTGTGCAATGTTTGCCGCATGAAGATAAGGCCGTTGACCTCGAGTGCAACCTTCTGCAAAGTGCATACACGTTTTGGCATAGTTACATACGATCTGGTCGTCTACGACAGAACTCAGTAAGTACGAAAAGGGACATATTTGGGCCGCATTAACCGATGCTTACTCAGCTTTGTTTGCTCTTGAAGTTGTTTCGGCGGAGCTGTATTGAGATTGCCGACGGACCGAGTTCTCGACCGCCGGCTTGTCTGCATTCCGAATAAAAACAGATAGGTATAAAAATGAAGCACCAGACGGTTGAGCACTCTTTTGTGTTGCCGACCGCTCCGGTAGGCACGGTGGTTCTCGAAGCGAGAAGAATCTTGCGAGCTGGAAAACCCTGCCTCCGCATATAGAAGTCCATAGAGAAAACAAAATTGGTCTGTGAATAGGTGTACTGTGCTGCCTAAACTTCCGCAGGTGTACGTGTGGGCTTCGCAAGAAATAAGACGGGGGGGGGGGGGGGGGGGGGGGCAACGGTCGCGCTTGAGAGTAATGAGTAATGAGCGAGGATCGTGGAATGGGACGGCTGCCGGAGCCGCGTCTATCGGCGTTTCAAGCAGACATGAGAGCGCGACGCGTTGAAGGGAGCAAACGAGCAAGTCAGCAGACAAGAAATTGCTGCACAAACCACTATAATGTTGATTGTTTTTGAATTGCGATAGCATTAGTCTAGGACAACCATAAGGACAATGTCAAAAGCAACGTCGAGGACGACGTTGCTTTTACAGTATATATACTGTAAAACCCTTAATTTTCGCGAGCTCTTAAATTTTACGAGCTTCACGAATTGAAAAAATTCGCGAAATTTAAGGCGCCTGGAATTCGCGAAATTTAGTAGCCGCGATTATGTCCCGTAATTCTGGAAGAGTTAGCGACATTGGAGCCCGATTTGAGTCGGGGTTCGGTGCCCTTTGATTGAATGCTTCAAATCCACGACTTACTTGTTTGTTTGTTTTTATATTATTATTATAATGTCCATTTGTTTATTTTACTCTCTATTTTAGTGCTCGGAAGTACCTTTAAGTACATTGTGTACTACCGCGGAGTTTGTGAGAAATCTGAACCTAACTTTTCGCACCGCAAAAAAAAATAAATAAAAAAAAATAAACGAGATATTGCAGCGAGCTCCAACTTCCTCAAAACTAGCCCCAGCCGTTCGACCAAGATGCCAAAGTTTCAGCACCAACCGTTATCTTATTCAAAAGTTATAAGCGATTTTCTGGAAATTTCAATGAAAAAATGGCGGCCGACGAAGCTTTCGAATACATATGGGGTTCTACGATGCCAGAAACCGAAAACGGGCAAAAACGGGCACCCTTTTCCCATTGAAAATGTCAAAAAAATCACATAGCTTTTGAATAAGATAACGGTTGGTGCTGAAACCTCGGCATCTTGCTCGAACGGCTTGGGCTACGTTCTGACGAAGTGTGAGCTCTTTGCGCTGTCTAGTTTATTTTTGCGTTGCAAAAAGCCGAGTTCGGATTTCTTGGGAAAACTTGTTAATCTTTTGAGTATGTACTTGTACTTCCCTTAAAGTAATTTTTTTTTTCTTATAATTTTTGAGGAAGTGACAGCTCGCGACTTCAAAATTATCCCCCAAATTTGATATCGCTAAATTTGTAAAAAAAAAAAAAAAAAAAAAAAAAAAAAGAAAGCTATGCCGCCAGGTACAAATTACATAGCTGCGGCGCCACTCGAAATCCAATGCATACTCCGTTTTTTTGCACCATTGGTGTCTAAACGCGACTTTGGTGGTATATCAAGACCAACCAATGGTACAAAAAAAAAAAAAAAAAAAGCAGCGAAGTATGCACTGGATCTCGAGTGGCGCCGCACTATGTGATTTGTACCTGGCGGCATGCGGCAAGATCATCGAAGACAACCTGAAACATACAAGCGTCCAGGCGCTTTTCCGTTACGTGGACGACTTCTTAATACTAAGTGCCACGGAGGTCGACGACCAGATAAACGGATCCAGAGACACAGTTCTTAGATGCTTCCAAGAAAGTTGCCCCTACTTGGTTTTCACCTATGAAGCACCTGTCGACAAAAATATAAAATTTCTAGATCTCAATCTGACTTTCAATCAAGGACCGTGTGCTGGAGTAACGAACTCCGGTCAGCGAAAGGATTTCTGCCGTTCCCATCTGGACACTCAAGAACCATCAAGAGGAGTGTCGCTAGCACGGCTCTAATCTCTGCCCTAGACAAATCGTGTAAGCATCAAATAAAAAAAAATTTTGAAAAAAAAAAAAAAAACAGATGTGCCGCCTACAAGATTCGGGATATCCAACTAGTCTCATGGAGCCAGTCTGTGAAAACATCTGCAAAAAATTGAAGCATACAAGGCAGGAGAACGGAGACGCAGACAAAACTCGAAGGAAGATCGTGGTGCTACCGTACATTCATGGAATTACCCACAAATTGAAAAAAAGATTGCAGCAAGAAATGAC